GTGCGGGGGGAGGGGGCAGCCGGGAGCTGGATGGAAGATGAGGTCCTAGGCTTAGTTTGGCCACAGGTGGAGGACAGTGAGAGGCCAGATGAACCGCAAGGCATTTTCGCCTCTGATAACCTGGGACTCTGTTGGCTAAAATCAGACCTTAAAAATTTCTGCCAATATAAGCCCCTACTACACATTTCCTGGCACATAAGGTGAGAAGAGAGGCATAGAACATGGAACACTGACTGGGGAAGGAAACCAGGCTCTTCAGAACAACCAACGACTGGCTAACTGTCGTTGCCAGTTAGCCAGGCTTGTCCTCTGTCTGAATTATAATGACCCCCAACCCATGACCTCTACCAACTTCTTCACCTGATTCCACTGCCCTTCAGAGGTCACCTCTTCCAGGAAGCCTTCCCTGACCTCGCCCCCTCCCCGGAGTCAGCCTGTGTTACCCTAATCACCAGTTTCCCTGTCTGGCTCCCTATGAGCCCCCCAAGGGCAGGAGCTATACTACATTTGCCCCTATCTCCCCACCCCCATGCCTAGCACAGGCCTGCAGCATAACAAGTGCTCGATGAAAGGCTGAATAAAGAAACTTAATAAGCTGTTGCTTCACTTTATTGGGAAAAAAAATATCAGTTTTCGTACAAGATAAATTGGATGAAACCTAATAACATCCCAGTCAACACTGTAATTCCCCGCTGAATTAATTTATACATTCGCTTGCAAGCTTAATAATATAGCCATATATTTTAGAGAACAGGTGGTGATGAATGACAGGCTTAATTAGGCAAATCATTTCACCTAAAATAAAAATATACAAACTCCAAGTGTAGTGATTCAGAAGCAAAAGAAAAAAAACATTAAGAACGAAAGCTCTAAACACAACTGCCTTCATTCCTTCTAATTATGTTTCTCTTTAATCTGCAATTTAAAATGGCAATTCGTTTAATTTAGTGATTTTCTGTAAAAGATAAAGGAAGATGTAAGCCCTCAAAAGAATATCTACATTTAGAGAAAAAATATGCCACCCCTGCAGAGTCTTTAGAATGAGAGGACATAATTAATTCCACCTATAGGCAATTACAAATGGAAGTCAGAGTTCTGCAGGAGGGAGAGGAGACTCAGATGGGCAGGACCAGAACCCCAGTGGCAGTGGGAGAGGTAGCTCAGTTAGTGGCTCCACCAGCCTTTTTCTCCAGGGCAGGTGAAGAGGCCCCTTCTGATAGTTATGGTCTGACGACAGGCCTTACCCCTTAAGGGCCAGCTCAGGTGCCCCCCACCTTCTGGGTGGCCTTCCTACTCGTATGGTATGTCCTTGTTTAACATCATCTATAGGTCCTGCAACTTTAAGCACAATGACATACGCTAATCGATATAAACAAAAGTTAAGTTCCTATGGCATCTCATTGACCTTCTAATGAAATGACGCTGAATGAAAGGATGTTATTGAAGGACCTGCTGAATTATAGATTTTATGCCATTCGATCCCGAAGTTTGGTCACTGACAAAGAAGGAAGACAGTGTCCCAGACACCCACCATAGCTCGAACATTACCCTGCCATCCTGTGGGTAATGGGTGAGGGGTCAGGGGTCCAGAGGTGAGAAAGATCTCCAGGTTCTCAAAGCTAAGGAGTGGACCA